CGACGGGCTTCTGCGCCCTCGCGCTTGCCGCCATGACCTAGACAACGCGCCGTTGACGAAAGCGGATGAAATGAAGCTAGAAATTAATGGCGTATAGGGAGAGTTGTAAATCGTAAATGCACAATCATGGAGATTGTGGGTTGTGGGTCGCGCTGGGTTGTCGGGGAATGAGAATCAAAACAGACCTAATCGGGTTCGATGGCAACGCGTGGGTCACGTGGTCCTTTATTTTGTTATGGTAACTTTACATTTTCGTTGGAAAGATTATCACTTGAACACTTGAATTTCGATTGAGAAGGATATACATTTCAAAACCAATGCCAAATTGGAACCTCAACCTCTTCATCAAGGTCATAGTCAGATGGTCTTCTAGCTCTAGGTGTACGCAGTGCACGCGCTTCATATCGCTGGGCAAAAGGTAAAACCTGGCGAACGGTTTGCTCCACCGCCTCACGCATGCGATCCATGTCATCACGCCTGCGATCCCTGTCAGCGATATATTCAGCAACCGCTTGTTCAGCAGGAACTGTCATGGATATTCCGAGCCTGTCCAAATCCGCTTCTTCGATATAATTACAGCCCAAATCCGGAGTTGATGGGCGGATCCAATCGACTTCGAGAGGAGGATTCAAACCCTGGTCATCCAAGGGCTCTTGCGAAGGTCGCCACGTTACAGTCGCAAAATAATACCGAAGCTGACCAGGCGCCTCCTCATCACGCACCCAGCGCTCTCCGCCAAGCATGGAACTTCCCGTCCATCTAGATACGGAGGTATCGGCCCTGGCTGCGACCATGTTGGTGCCATCGGCGCGCTGGAATCGCCATCGGTCGGCCATTTCGCCCGCAATATAGTCCACTTCGTCTTTACGTCGCTCGATGCTTTCAATATCGATGCAGAACCTGGTGACGCTAGAGGGCAGCACCAGCCATCTGCCCCACTCTCCTTCAATGTGCAACTCGTCGTTTGATTCCCAGTACCAGGTGTCGGTGTATCGGATAGTGATGGTGACAGACTTGGGATAAAAATGACGCATGGCGAATATACCATTGAAGTCTTCGGTGCCCTCGAGGCACCATAGCTGAGGAAACACTCGAATATGGCCGCCCTGCACTTCGCCATGTCGATCATGAATTAGATCTAGACATTGCTGCATCTTCTCAACCGTGATAATTCGCTCCGGAACACGTTCCGATGAGGCCATCCAGAATGCATGCTCTGAACAGATGAAGGGCATAAACCATGCCTCCATGTAGATTTTTCTGCAGGTTTGGAGCAGTTCTGTGTAGGTTCGATGGGGGGTCTCATACCCTGGTCGGGTGCAGTATCCATCTCGCTCAGGTTGTTGCCTGGTGTCCGGGGCACTTGTTAAAGCGTAAGCGAAAATCTCATAGCGAATCTCTGGAGGTAGGAGCGAGAATAGGCTGCTTTGGGTTTGCTCATTGTACTCTGTAAAACAAGCGGGGGAAAGGTTTGGCTCTGCCATTTTCAGTAACAATTTCGTTTTAGGCGTTGAGAATAAAAATGAGAGAGGATAGAGGAATGCCCGTATGTTGTATATGAACTACCGAATTAGGCCCCCAATGAGGCTGAGACCGAGGCTGAAGCGAGGCTGCCTCCGATAGTAGTGGGCATTGTCCAACTAGTAGTATCATCAAATATCTATTTTTAGGGATTAAGCGAAATAAATTAAGCAATCAAACTCAAAATACAAATTGTATCCGAGGTTAATACGTACTTGGGTAGGCCTTGGCGGGGTAGACTGCGAGCTCGAAATTAGACAGCCTTACAATGTTAGGCGGGTGGTTATAAGCATAATCGGTTCCCATGGTAAGGTAAAACACCTCCGCCAACGTTCCAAAGTACGCCGGAACTTAGAGCAGCACATGTGAGTGGTCCCTAGTAGATAAGTGTAAACCATAGAGAGAGCCAAGAAGATGAGTCCGACTGCCGTCGCCATCCGTAAAATCGGTCCAAATGAGACTCATCTATTTGTAAGGAAGGATAGAGTCCTTTCTGAATGATAGGCACAATGATGATCCCCGAGATGGCCCCCGCAATTTTAAGTCATATCGCTCGGAATACTGTACCTGGCCATCTGGCCAGCTTAAGAAATCGGATTGTTGTCTAGTTATAGCAGAGCCAGTGAATAGGAATAAGTCTGCATATATTAATCGAGGATAAATTGGACTATTATTAGACATGTTCATATAAATACAGATAGGACGTATCTCGTAGGGCAATAAGGGCAATAACACATATACCTGGGAATAGGGGAGTGCCGAAGCACTTCTCACTTCTGCAACGCAATTTGAGTCTTCAGCGAGGGAATCCCTCGACTGTTGGTATCAGACAAGGGGTATCGGACAGGGGTCTAAACATGTTGGGCGGGATCGTTGTTGGCAGCGGCCGCACCTCTCTCTTCCTCCTTCTCATTGAATCTCGGCGTGATCCTCTCCACATCTCCACGGTCATAGAGACGGAGATCCAGCTGGGTGATATCAATGCGGGTGTGGGCAAAGAGGATAATCCAACACAAGATGGGCTTGCTGAACACATCCAGGATACCGTAGAAGATCTGCTCTGAATCCGGGGCAATGACGTTGCCACCCTCTGAACAGGCCCAGCAGATAGGGTACAGGATCCAGAGGATAAAGACGTAAGGGCCCAAGAAGGTGTAGAACTTTTTGATATTACCACCCAGGGCATTGGCGTGGGTGATGCCAGCCCAGACGATGTTCTCCAAGGCAAGGAAAAGCGCCACGGTGCCGATGGTGTAGTAACCCCAGCGATAGGTATCAGGGACGATGGCACCGACGAAGAACAGGATGACAAAGATGATCGACATCATGACAGTGTACAGGATGGTGTGCCAGTAGACACCCGCTGTCAGCAGCACATTGAAAATGATCAAAGGCATCGTAGTAAACCTAATAGCTCGTTAGTCACCTCCATCAGGGATCCTGGATCAAGGTAGGATTAACGTACCAGTCCAAGTACCGGATCCAAAACACCTGTCGAGTGGCTCCGGCGACTTCATGACTGCTTCGTACCCATTCGGGGGCAACAGCCATGGAGCCAATATCAGAAGCCATGGTAAAGTAACAGATACCAGAGAGAGTAACGGTCAAGATACTGATATAGTGGAAGATGCGGTCTCTGCGCGGGGTCCGGAACAAGAGGCCAAGGAAGACGACAAGAGAGAAGTAGTTTATCGCAAAGACAGTCCATAGCCAGTCACTGCCACGGCTAGTGATATGGATAGCGGCGGAAGGAGGATTGATTTTAAGCGCATCATTGCGCTTGACGAAAGCAGATAATGATTCCATAGCTGGTGAAGCTGGCAGATTGACTTGGCTGATTGGAGAGTAAGGCTTGTTGATGATGAATGTAGAAAAGAAAAAACAAGACTTTGAAGCAGAAGAAGCTCAATATAAGCAATTCAATTTCGATTGATCTTCATTTCGTCATTTCGTCATTTAGTCAAGCTCTGCATTAGGTCAACTGATGTTCTATCAGCCAACCTGTTTCCTCGCTGTTGTGGCTGCGGAACACGCCGGGTTGGGTGGCATGAAGCATGAACCCCATTTTGGCAGTTGGCTGAAGAATTTTCCATGTCATAGAAAATAACGTCTGTGGAGACAAAATAATAGACAGAACCGGCAAATTCCGTCAAAATCGTTCAGTTCTGAAGTCCTTGGATAGTTCACCAGTGGCGAGTGGCGTGACAAAAAAAAAGTCACTGCGTCCAACAACAATCCAGACTTTTTTAGCCCTAGTAAATATTCGGGATCAGCAGTGACATGTTCCGACAGACTAACAAAGTACGATATACTTGAGTTCGACGCAGTTTGTATTGACATCAGTGAGCGTTAAATGACGGCTTCCCTAGTGAAATCCCTGCACCTTAGTGCTTGACTCGGTAGTCCTGAACTCCCTGTAGGGCTAGACTTGACGTATGTTGTCAGAATATCCCCAGGATAAGGATCAGGCCATCAATAGTGGAGAAGTGGACAATCCTATGTACAAGCTGTCGATCCATGGTCCTTCCCCTTCCGGCCATAAATATTGAATTCCACGGTTTGACAGTTTCTATTCGTAACAGCTCCTGTCTATTAGTTAACTCTGTTGGTTAACTGGTTAACTACGTGAGTAGTTCGTTAGTTCGTTATCATAAGTTAACTAGGTAGCTAGAACTAGGCTTCAAGGACTTAGTCAAGTCTTGCCGAGATGGTAATCGCTTCCCTTGAAGAACTAAATATTATGGATGACGGAATAGTAAAGCCTAATTCGATCCAAATAGTCCATCCTGTACTTCGTAGATAATTCAATAGGAGATGGTTCGCTCGTTGTCCTTGCCCTCGGAATCTCCGGATGCGCAGGATCTCACGGCACAATTCATTCTCCTAGTCCAGATTCACAAAGAGCGGCAGCGACTAGCGCTCGGCGTTGATCCATGTCACATGGTGGATCGGCGCCGGAGTACTAGTTGTTGATGTGGGCCAGTGGCTGCCGGTTGACAGGATACCCGGTATCATCCGGCTTGACGTCTAGCCACCATTAAGGGTTCGGACCTGAGATTCTGCACTTTGGACTTACAAGACGGTGAAGGAGACGTCCTCACTTGAAGCGAACTTGGTGCTGTCGTCGGCGGTCTTGATGGCGGTCGCGGGATTGTCTGTCAGAAACGGCTAGCGGATCAGGACGACGGACGAAAGTATGTCATCGCACTTGAAGTGGTCCGTGAAGAAGTTATCCGGCTTCTCCAGCGGCACGGCGTCCCCACGCAGGAGACATCCTAGTAGTACTCCTGCGCGAAGTCGCGGAAGCCCGGGTGTTTAGCCTCGTCTGGCCTCTCGTTTACCTCATACATGGGCGTCTATCTCTGCATTCACGGGTCTTTCTCCCGTCAAAGATCGGGTTGAGAACGACTCGACGGCCTAATTGCCGAAATGGGTAGGTGGTAGCTCGCGCGGATCTTCTGGTGGTCCGGGTTGTAGATATGGATGGCCAGCTGCCATTTCTCCTCGTCGGTGATGCTCTTGTGGAATTTCTCGGTCTCCTGGGAGAGCCAGCGCACGTCAATGCCATGGTTGACCACGTCGAGAAGCCGGTGTCATGGAAAGCAGCGTCGGTGGCTTGGCCACGGCGTTCTTCTCGAGGTCATTCCCGAAGAGAGGGAGATGTCAATACGGTGGCCACGGAAGGGGAGCCTACGATGGAGTTCGGATTGCCACATCGAGAACCTGGGAAACTGCGACTTCTGAACAGAGCGCGAATATCTCGATTGAGAGGGGCACCGAAATCCGGGGTGAATATCGACCGTAGGGCTCAAGGTGGATGCACAATTTTGTGGGGCTCTGATACTACGTGAAATGGTGCCCTGGAGTGACACTAGGATCATCGCGTTCCCACCCAAATTGAGGGTCATTTGGGGTGCATGTCGCACTGACACTGTATATCCGGATGTGAGAGCGTATCTGTATCGCCGTTCTATATCTACATTCACACTTGAATTTGATGCTGCCAGGTCATCTTGGCAGGTATTTAGATAGGCATAAGAACTCAATTCACCCAAGACAACGGGATCTGATACTTCTCTTAATTACCAGGCATATCAGTGTCTTTGAACTCCTCAATCCCACCAGCAACCCCATTCATCCATTTCATAATCGCCCATTTCAACATTTTCAGCCCAATTTGATAGCACCCTGTAAAGCTAAACATATCACGTTGGACCCTGCAATAATACACCCTACTTCCTGATACAGCCTAGTGTGCTAGCGCGATCCTTGCCTCTTCTGGTTTCCTTAGTTAACTGCCACACTCGCTGGGCGTATTTATCCAGCAAAGTTTGCAAAACTCCCCCATTTCGGTGTCCGAGGTGTTGTATATCCCGTGTCATCCGTGAAAGCTTCCCGATTGCCCTATCGGGTCCGCCCTACTGACTGTTAGCCTGCACTAATGCCGGAGTCCCAATTTGACCCGGCACTTTCTGCCGATCTTCACAACAAGATTTTAGAACATGCATGGACAGGGGCCGGAAATGATTTGTCTACATTGTCTTCCACTAGTTGGTGGCAAACTTCCGCTCCCGTTAAAATTGATTCCCATCTGATTCCGAATCTGGTTTCGTTCCTACGTCTGGCGAAGGTAGTGAATTCTGCTCCGGTAACAGACTCGGGTCTCTGCTTCTTTTATTTTTTATATGGTTTACAGGAGCAAACACGTTTTTTTGATTCCTCAACCCTCAAAATATGGGGTGATCGTTTTGTTTGGTTATATCCGGCTACCGGGGCGGTCGATGTTGAAGAAGTTGGTATCATGTTTGTGATCAACTTGTCCTATATCACTATTTTATTCTAACTATAAATCAGCTTCGATCAGAGTACAGAGCTTGCAGCTTTTTTTCCAGACTGGGAAAGTCTGATTTGCGATTGCGATAAATCATGGCAATGGAGACCTCTGCAGGATATTCTTACAGTGTACCTTCAGATGATTAAAGATGGAAAAGTGTACACGTCTTCAACGCCTTCGAAATTCTTCCCATGGAATCTTGAAACTTTCACAAAACGTGACGTTGAAAGAGTAGTGGCCGCTTTTGTTCGACTTATCGATACCATTGAGCAAAAACTTCCCGGTGACTCCAAGCTTACGCTACCATCGCTCTAGACCTAGATAGATCTTTTATATCCTACTGTGGTCCTCGACGAGGCTTATATAAAAGAGGTACAGGATACTTTTCTCCGATCGTTTCTTCTCGCTCTTCTAAATCGACGTCTTTCGTTCCGATATATCGCTCCTAGAGTTCAACTCCAATCGCTGTCAGATATTGCAGATCAGCCTTTTCCCAAGCTTTTCTCTGATTTAAGTAACAGGATCGACTATAACGAGAAGGATCCAATTCCTCTACTTCTATTCAGAGGTAAGGGAGAGAGCATATCCCCTTAGGTTGGACCCTGGTTCCCTGATAGGGAACCAGGATTTATCCCTACTAGTCTTTACATAGAAGATATAGCGCAAGACTATGGAAATTAGTATAAGCTACTTTTACCGTTTGGTATCGGTGCGAATGGCTATGCGCGAAGTAGCAACGGCCTGCTACTTGGTCCGTCTTCGAATCCTCCCCTACTTACCGATGAAGCCGATCAGCTATATCAAATTATCTACTACTCTAGGCTTCTCCCCGGATGGGGTCATGGCCAGTTCTTGGATAAGATATTGACAAGCTGGGCAGAGCGTGTTGAGTTGGGTAATTGGGTGGGCACGGAGGATGGCGTTTCTGGAGGGATGGAAAAGTTTAAGGAGGCTGATACGCCTATTCATTGGGAGGAGTACTATACTCCAATGTCTTGGTGATGGTCTCAATATGTCAAGGCAGAAAATGGGGGAGCTACCTGCTTTGCCATTAGGGCAACCGAAGTACTGTTGAATGGCCTGCCACGTTTGTTCTGTCGTAGCCGACTTGGAAAGTAGAAAGGTGAAACCCAGGATACTCCTAATATAATGATATTTCTAATAACAGATCAATAGCAGATTATTACCGAATTCGGACTCGATGAGGCTAAATATGCTAGCGGGGATTGGCGATCATATGTTGGAATACCTTACGGTCCTTACCCAACATGGAAGCGAAATCGATTCGGAAATCAATCTTAAGGCTTATACTTTGGATTCTGGGGTACAGCTGGGTAGGATAGAGTATTGCATAAGAGCTCAAGGTTAGGGAACTAGTTGTGATTGGCTGTGTATGAAGTCATAGCTATGTTGTACATCGACATCGTGTGGAGTATATATATAGCTTTGGGGTATGGCGTTGAAGACACAATAGTCTCGGGGTGGCCTGATATGTACAACAAACATACTTGCAAGGTCAGACTATGTATTTTCCAGTTATCCCCTCCTAATAAAAGGTATTTCCAGTGAATGTACTCCTTATAAGACATGTTCCCAAGTAGATATTCGTCATAAGACAAATGCCCTGAATCCAGAGCTGTTCGGGGCTTGGCAGCGCACATGACAGCATCACAACAACCTGGAAGTCGAGAATCCTTCCTTATCTTTTCTGTGCTCTCACCTTCTCTTCCTCTTCTTCTTCCTCTTCCCCCCTTTAATTTCTTTTCTGCATTCCACGCCTTGACTCGGTTGATACGCTTCTTACGAATTTTCTAATTCCGTTTTTAAAGTTTCCCCCTGAAGCTTCTCACAATCTCACCGTTATGGCTTCTGGTGACGTGACCTACCCTAACACGGGCAGTAAGGTAAGAGAACCAAGTCAATTCCATTTGACAACATGAATATACTGACCTCAGTCACCCTGCAGTATTGCGCTCTTTTCTTTTCCCTAGATTTCGTGGGAGAGACTGACCTTGACCCTTTTGCGTTCAGGCATCCGCGATGTTATTACCAAGGGTAAGCAGGCGTCTGAAAGTCTCCGAAAGTCGATCAAAGCAAGCTGACCACTTCATCCACAGGCCCAATTGTCAATAATGTGAAGTCCGAAGCATCCCGCACCAGCGATGAGTTCCGTGATCTGAAAAACTCGCGTGTGACCCCTTCGAACACCACCGCCGATGGTCAACCATTGACTCGTATGTCATAAGAACTGGATTGATTGGGTGATGGGATATTGACAAGTGTCTAGACTACCACTCTTTGATGTACAGCCTTTTGAGCGTGAGTTGTCGCCCTCGTCTTCAAGTTGGATAGCTTTGCTAATCTTTCTCTGGGTATAGTGGGAACAACCCCGTGCGACCGCCGTTTCCTACGCTAGCATGATTTGTTTCATCTTCGCCGCTCGTTACATGCCTCTCCTCCGCTGGGCCTTCAAGTTCCTGTACATGTCGTTGGGAGGTGAGTTGGTCGCGTGACCTACGGTCAACAGAGTGGTTGGTTAACAATTGCGTTTAGTGACCGCCACCGTCGAGATTGCTGGCCATGTCATCCTCAAGCGGGGAATCGCCAGTGGATTCCGCCCCCGCCGTTACTACACTGTCCCCAAGGAGGTTATTGAGGGTGTCCTCGAGGACCTTGAGCAGCTCGTGGACTTTTTCCTGATCGAGTTCCAGCGCATCCTGTTTGCTGAGAATGTCATCCACACCGTTTTTGTAGGTTGCAACTTGTGAACTTATCAACGAAGAAAAAAAAGGCAGAGACTAACGGCTTAGGCTTTCAATGCTGCTTTCATCGGCTACTGGCTGCTCCGCTTCCTTCCCTTCTGGGGCGTGGCCTTGATTGCCGTGACCACCACATACTTCACCCCCTGATCTACATCAGCAACCGTGAATTCATCGACGAGCAGATTATCAACTACCAAGAGATCATCAACTCCCAGACCAACCAGCTTCGGGACATGGCTGGCGAGCGTACCTCTCACGCCACCGACTTGGTGAAGCAGTATGTCGGTGAGTACAGCTCTAAGGCTCAAGGTTACATCGCCCACCGACGCTCTGCCTCCCGGGAGACCAAGCTGGCGAGCCCGATCAAGCGTGAGACCGTTACCGAGCCCGTTGCCAACTTCACCGCCCCTGTCGCCAAGCCTGCCGTCGAGCCCGTCATCAAGCACGAGGACTTCCCGGAGGCCCCCAAGGCCGCTCCTGTCGCTCAGGCTCTCGAGTCTGGCATTGTTGCGTCTGTTGAGCCGGCAGAGCAGGCGAATGGTCGTGAGCCTCTTCTGGCTGTCTGAATAGGTCTCAATGGTACTAGGCCATCTTAACCGGGAATCTTAATTGGCCTCGAACTTGAGCGTCAATCAATTCTTTGGTGAATGCATATCATTATTCTGGCCATGACTGTTGCTGGATATACCAAATGGCACGTGATATCGGTTGTCGAGTCAATTGTTCTTGTTGGGGATTCCTTGGGAATACATGCGCTCTGATCACCAATCCCTCGTGTCGACGGACAAAAAATAAGAGGATTCTTGGAGCGATGAATGAGCTTTTCATGTCTCATATTGCCTCTTTTCGTTATTTTATTCCCCCTAACATACTGGGCATTTTTACCTGTCTAGTTCTTTTCCGCAAACACCCTGTCTATGTCTTTTTCGGGTTCATATTGTTTCTAATGGAACTACATTTACATAAATTCATGCTCTTACTTTGGCTTTCCATATGTCCCCAATCAGGACATCGCTCGTTTGCTTGCTCGCTTACTGTTCTTCCTGTTTGCTAGATAGCAGGGTTCGAGGTTTGCAATGTTTGCAAAGGGACAGCTATATCAACAGGCTGCTTCCCACTTTGCAACTTGCTTCTTCTTTCTCTCCATCTTAGTTATTCTGCATTGAATGCACTTCTATCTTTGCAAGACTTGGCACCACAGACACCTGAGGAATCTACGGATGACATCAGAACCAAGCTAACCTAATCGGGGAGTATACTCGCCTTCTATCAATTGTTTTCATTTTTCTCTTCCTCTTTTTATCAACTCCAATATGGCAGCATCTATGTCAGCTCTTGTCCTTGAAACACCAAGGTACCCGGAGTTAAACCTCCTGGTTTATGACAGCAACGGCCATCTTCTTGCCGGTAAGTCACGATAGCCTCATAGGAGCCAGCACGGCTAATACAGCCTTATTATAGCCCTGGAAATCCCAACTACCCAACAAGCTCAATACATCACTGAGGAGATGCTATGTCGCTATTGTTGGTTGGTGTTCATCTTTCCTAACCAAAACGAGTGGGCAATTTACAAGTTGCAAGCCAATAATACACCAGACACCACTGCACTTCAGCATGACAGTGCGAGTTTGGTGAGCCCTGGTAACTATGTGGTTCTGGATCTAAGTATTTTTAACATATTTAGCATAACTGGCGTTTCCAAGGTTAACAATCGTATAGATCACGCGCCCATTACTATCGATCTAACACCGAATTACGCGCCACGCCGTGTCAGAACTCAAAGTGCCGATTCCCAATCCCAGGGTCAGAGGGAATGGAGCCGTCTGGTAAAGTTAATGTGGAAATGATTAAAGCATATAAAGCCAGTACTGATAATTTCTACAGCAGAATAAATTTCGCGACAGCCTCCGCACTAGAGACGCAGCATGTGCAATTACTGGGCCGAATGCTATAGCCAGCCGTCGGAGTCCTTTCCGAGGTCTCGAAGCTACGCATATATTCCCCGTTAGTAAGGTGGATGAATGGCGACGAAATCAATATCGGCGGTACATTACCGACACTAGGCCTAGCAGCGAGATTGGGGAATCTGGTCTTTATTCTCCCCAGAATGGGCTTCTTCTCCGCTCCGATATCCACATACACTTCGACGCTTTCGAAATAGGAATTGACGCCGATGTAAGACCCTCTGTGCTATCTCGCTGATATATACTAATGGTTGTGACATAGGCCGACTACAAGATCATTGTATTCGTACCGGATACTACGGGAATTGGTGGCACTCGTCTTAGAAACTCTGCTCTGAGTGGAACCCTGCGTGTGAGCGCCAACCTCCTTCGTTGGCACCTACGGATGTGCCTGTACAAGCACCTGAAGGCCAATGCCGAGCCGCAGACAGAATGGGAGGAAGATCTTGGAGAAGACCCGATGGGCGAAATCCTTAGCCAGCCAGATGCGGCTGAGCGGATGGAAGTGGAGCTTTTCACGCGCCTGGGAGAATTGATAGAATGATGCAGTCAAAGCTTCAAAATCAGAGGATTGTTAGAGTAGTGACCTTTAACAATGAATTCGCACGGAGATGTTTCCGTTGAGGCATGAATATTTACTATTTTGTAGATCCATACAGCCGTAGAGGTTTGCTCTTTCTCCATCTAAATATGAGGAACAATCAAGTCGCCCATACGGCTCCCTATTCGTCATATTGCAATTCGGACCAGCCCGTGACGGTTTTGTTTTCCATTTCATTGTACTTCCCCTCTCCCTCGAAGACTTGCCTTGTTCAGTCGTGCTCGGGACTGTGTTTCCCTTCACCTCTCACACCCCGTCTACCCCGGATTCGCTGTGGTACAGATTCCGGACTGTTGTCTGATCTCTGGGGCGAGGAGTATCTTGTGAATCTTGAGCGTCTGGACTCAAGTGGGGGTTCGGGTCCGGTTGGTATTCTGTGTTCAACGGGTCGAGGTCTGGACCTCTTTGTGATAGAAGTCAGTCTTTCACCTGGTTGAGACTTGGATTTAGTATCGAGTCTTGCAGGCTCATGCGAGTATGACGCTTGGTGTGTTCCTTTTTCACCGTTGAGTCTGAGGCCTACTGTAATGATACCACATCATCTCCAAGAGTGTTCAGCTCTGATCTGAACAATGAGTCCGACTTTTCGATAACCATGTGAAAGAAGGAAGCCCAAGGGCAACCTGAAAGAGTCTATGTTACGAATAAGCTCGATCATACTTTATGGAAATGAATAGGAATGAAAATAGCCGCTTGAGAAAGGCCTAAACACCAACAGCAGCATCCCAATTGAGACATGGCTTCTTGCCCCTTTTCCAGAAGCCCGGGATCTGAGACGCTGAGGGGACACGCATGTCGCGGTTTACCGCTCTTTGGGATTTGACGGAGAATGTTTAGCCAGCAGCAGAGTGTCTAAGACATTGGAAACCAGTCCTCGTTTCCAGACTCTCGTAGCGGTCTCGGCTGTTGGGACTCTGTGCAGACCGACTCCAATGCAATTGAACCCATCCCACTCGAAACTAGCCCAGTTGTGTTGACATCTAGTTGACACCCCAGTCCTCGACATTTACAGTCTCTGGCCAGATTGCGTAGCGTCCTGCCGGCATCTATATGCACCGTTTTCTGCAGTGCTCAGGATGCTACCCCGGCCCGGCACCGATTGGCGGAAGGACCCCTTGTACCTGTTGGAAGTCTTATGCAGACTACACTAGACTGGCAGGTGGGTACAATGGCGGATTGCGAAATGGACTGGGGGAAGTCACTGTGACACTGGTATAAGTTGATTGATTCAAGCAGAAAAGAAAACCCAAAGATAAAGAAAGGAAAAGTGGGCTCTAGCAGCCACCAACGTGTCGGAATACTGCATAGAAGGATGCATGGAATGTTCTTTGAAGTCGTTATGTCTCTTGCGTCTCCGCAGAGTCCATGTCTCTGTTATACCCACGCCCTGGGATTTCAACCAGCGGTCTAGCTGAGAATTCGGATAGTTTCAGATGGACATTAACCAAGACAAAAAGAGAAGAACCGAAGTGCAAACCTGCATTCAATAGACAATAAAGAACCATTCTAGTCCATGATCAGCATTTGTTTGTATCCTCAGCCTTACCCCATCATATCAAATTTATAGACCGCTTGCACAGTCTAGGGTACACTGTATAGGCAAGGAAGCGTGACACCCAAGTGGAGAGATTACTGTCACTTTTCCCAGTATCGTTAATTCTGTCAGAAGTTTATCTGTGCAGCACAGCTTTTCTCAGATGCACTTCGCGGACTCGTTAGGCAATGCAGCTTCCTGTCATACAAGCCCTGCAGCTTCCCGTGAGTCTGAGACCTCTTTAATGTTCATCCTGCCGAGCTATGGGGTATGTAGCTTCTTATTGGGCCATCAAACTGTTGTCCTAATGCTCCGGTTGCTGCAGTACCCTCCAGTCCGATGACAAGGAAGATCTGGCATGCGTTCTCCGATAAGATTATGAAGAAGAAAAAAAGATGGTGGGACAACGGTTGAGCCCTCTACCCCGGGATATTAGCATTTACAGCATGATTGAAGATAATAGTAGACCGTTGTGCGTAACAGGCTGTTTGCATGCGGTGACTCTTTGCGTTTTCACAGTCCCTGAAACGGTTGCTGCCATGCTTTTCTTTCACCGATCACTTTAGAGGCTTGGGAAGTTGCAGGTGTGAATGTGGAACAGACTATGCCTCGAGAGATGAGAGACACAGGTCTCAATATCTGTATTTTGTAATTGTTTCCAGGGGTATCAATGGAAATCAATGTACACTGCATCATCAGTCCAAAGTGTAAGATCATTGGGAACTTTCCCTTCCACGCGGAGAGACAAACAGCCCATGGACTCGTCCGACTTCAAGAACCCTTGTGATATGAGAGAGGCGGAGAGAAGAGAGAGAAGCAAAGAACCGGTGAAGCCCATTTACTATTCTTCGTGTCAGACAACTCTCAGATCCGAGTTTCTTCTATTCACCGCTGTCTCCGTCTCCTCGAAAGTTGTCTTTGCCAACAAACAACATCTGTATTGACTCACCTTACCTCACCTTTAGAAGCTGCGCGGAACAAACATCAAACCTTCGAACAAAGGTCTTGGATTGTCTTGCTCTACTTTGTTTTTTTCTTGCATGTTTGACTTCTCTGTCTTTCATCCTTCTGGAAAACACCTTTTGTTCCAAAGAGACATTAAGCTGCTTCTTTCCTCCAGAGACTTCGTATTTCTTCAACTCTTTTCTTCTCTCAAGGATATCACTTGAACTTCTTAATGCTATCTATCAACTCCCTTCTGAACCCTCAGCCCGAAAGGCGAATTGCTTATCCGCCCTTCCCTGTCCAAGAGAAGCGAAAGATGGCCAAGGACGCCCCAATTTTCCGCCGTGGCAAGATCCAGGGTGAGTGCCGCTATCCTCCTTGCGAGGAAAGAGATGCAGATCTGGAGAAGGCTCACAGAGAGCTCTCGTTACGTCCCATGGGTAACATTGCCGACTATCCTCGTCATATCCCTTATGCCAGCGACAAGAAAACCTTCCAAGAGAAGACCGGCCGAGATAGCTTCCATGGTATGTGCCATTGAACATGTTTTGATATTCACGTCTGACTCTTTCATCTAGTATTTCAATATACATTCCAAATACCCGGCGAAGACAAGGAATGGCATGTTATGTGGGACTACAACATCGGTATTGTTCGGATTACACACCTTTTCAAATGCAATGGCTACCCCAAGGCAAGTTCATACGATAGATCTTCGATATATTTGGTATCTCTAACTCGCTATAGACCATGCCAGCCAAGATGCTGAACCAGAACCCCGGCCTGCGTGATATCTGTCACAGCATCACCGGTGGAGCACTTTCTGCTCAAGGTAAGATCGATATCCTCTTCTCATCCAAAAAAACCTTGGGTGATTCTAACACTTTCACTTTTCACATAGGATACTGGATGCCCTACGAAGCCGCCAAAGCCATGGCTGCGACCTTCTGCTGGAGAATCCGATACGCCCTGACTCCACTGTTTGGCACAGACTTCCCGGCCATGTGTATCCCCCCAACGGACCGCAAAACCCACGGCCGCATGGTCATCCCTCCAGAGATCGTACAGCGTGCCACCCACACCTCCAACTACTATCGCTCTTTGGAGACGAAATCTAGCTCTAGCACCGGAGGCAGCCCCCCCGCAATGAGTACGCCTTCTTCAACCCATACCCTTCTCCATGGTATAGGAGCTTTGAGCCGACAAGACTCGTCCTTGACACTGCCTCCGCTCAAGATTCCGCGCACCCATTACGCTGAGAGTGATCCCAGCGCCCGGGACTCCTCCATAGAGCCTTACTGCATGTCGCCCAAGAGCCAATCGTCTATGTCTGCCTTTACGCCCATCAACCCCCCGCGCAGCTCCAATGTGATACCTCGCTCGCGGGTCGAATCGCCTCGGACTATCCTTCGTGCCATCTCAGATGCTATGCGCCCGGAGAATGTCCCTGGGATCAGCGAAGACAGTGACACCGACAGCGATGGCTCGTCCAACGTGTATTCCACCCCAAACTGTCCTTCTGTGGACGGGCATATGGAAACCGACAAGCTCGATGGCCTCGACCAGCCCACCAATACCGCTTCGGATGTCGCTACCATGCAAAGCGACTATGATGAAACCGACTCGGATGATGATTGGCAAATGGACGATGCTGATGATGAAGACTACCGTGGACCCCCTCTGAAGAGGACACCTAGGGGAGCTTCTTTCACCAAGGACGGTCCTATCAGTCCCGAATCCCAGACTAAGAAGTACCCCAGCCGAAAGTCCCGAGCTCTGCGTCCTCAGCCGTCGTCTCACTTCAACCGTGAGGTAAAGGCTGCTGAAGCTCTCCTTCGTCTGCACATGAATGAGCTTGAAAGCATCGGAACTGAGACTGACATGGATGATGACGAGTTGACCCCTCTTTCCGGCACTCGCTCTCTTGATGGGGACGAATTTCGCAGTCGTAAGCGACGTCGAGCTTCGCTTTGATGATCGATTACGCTACGAACTTGACATGGAATGGCGTTTATGGTCTAGGAGCTGAAGATTTTGCTGGTGGTGTTGTCTCTATGCATTTTGTGAGGAACATTTGTGTGATTTGATAACTTGGAGTTGAGGGTTTGCATGTTCAAGTCAGTGTCCCTTTATTAGATTTGTATGAAACAGAATTGAAGGCCTCGATGGATTAGTTGACACTGTGGAGTTCCAAACAGCCTGTTCGAGGCTACGGTTGAAAGATTTACGCATAGAAAAGTAAAGATTGAACATCGCATATTCGCCTTGCATCCACTGGCTCTGCCAGATCTCCATAAAATACCAATAAAGTAAGACATGGAAATGAAAGAAAATAAAAACCAGAATAAAGAGCATCGCAAAAAAAAAGCAGAACATCGCAAATGGGCTTCCGACCCTCACTATTTCACTACTTAGTCGCTCTCATCTTCGTCTTCGTCAAAGTCATCAGCCGATGCTTCTTCAT